CTCTCGGGCGGGGGGCGCGCTGTGGCAAGGCAGGGGCCGAGGCGGAGGGCGCGAGAGGCTCGCGGCGACCCCGTCGGCACCCTCGCTGTGTGATGCCAGGCGTTGCGCTCGAGCCCTCGAGGACTGAGGAGGGAGGTGTTCGAAGATTTTTTTCTGTTAAAAGGGAGGTGCTCGAATATGCTGGAATGTCTCTCGTTTTCGGGTCTCCAGGCCTTTTGGGGGGGGGTCCGGAGCATTGGCGTTCTGGCCCAGGTGGGGCTAGCCGATAAAATTGCCAAGGCTGCGTGGATGGAAAAATGGTGGCGGCAGGCCCGGGAATGCTGAACCAGTGACTAGGGCTGCTGACGTGCCGGAAGTATCCGGATAGCGGGCCGAGCAGGTATGTACCACCAACACCTATACACCAACGCAGACTGAATGCAAAGAGATGCAGGGCAGCGCGCGCAGTGAGATGAACGCAGGGCATTGCACTGGTAGCGTTGCGCAAAACATCATCGTGGAAACCTGACGCAAAGACACTACTACCCTATGCAACACAAGGCACAACGTCACACTGAAAAACGGATTACTCGATGTGGGGATCCCCATACGTTCCTCTCATACTCCTGCCACGGCTCTCAGAGGAAGTCTGTCTGTGAGCATCTGGATGTGAGAGCGAACCCGCGTAGACGAAGGGCACGACGACGACGATGACGACGACAGCGACTACTTCAGTGACGTGTTCCTCCTTCTCTGGGTATTCTTAAAGGAATAAGAGGGGACACACACATGAAGAGTGAGGCAGCATTGACCAATCAACATAAAGAAGACTGTGAATAGATCTGAGCGTGAGTGATCTGAGCGTGAGCGAGTCGGAGTGTGAGCGAGCCCAGGAATGGTTGAGCTTGAATGTGAGTGAGTCCAGGTCTGCGAGATTCTTTGTACTGGTGCGTTTGAGTATGGATGAGTCTGAATATGACTGCGTCTGAGTGCGAGTGAGTCTGAGTGTGAGCACGTGTGAATGTGAGTGGGTCTGAGTATGAGATTGACGAGCCTGCTTCTGAGCCTGCGTTCGTCTGGGTGTAGGTCTGACTGCGAATAGGTCGAAGTGTGCGTGTGTGAGAGTTTGATTATGAGTGAATATGAATGTGTTGAGTGTGCGAATGAATCTGAATGCGAGTGGCTCTGAGTGTGAGTGAATCTGGGTATGAGTGAGTCAAAGTATGAGTGTGTCTGAGAGTGGGTTTGCGTGGGTGAGTCTGAGGGTGAAAGAAGAAAAATAATGAGGTGAGGCTGATGAGGTCCTCCTGGGGCCTCCAGGAACCGTCAGGACACCGTTCCTGAGGCCTACACGAACTTGTTTTCACGCTTGTCCCGCTCTGGGGCGTGAAGAACCCACGTGTTTACACGTTTGTCCCGCTCGGCGGCGTTAGGACGCGTGTTGCTTCACGCGAGTCCCGATCTGGGGCGTTAGAAACCTACGTGCTGTCACGCGTATCCCGCTCTAGAGCGTTAGGAACCCACGTGCTTTCACGTTTTGTCCCGCTCGGGGGCGTTCGGAACCCATTAGCTTTCACGCTTTTCCCGCCTTGGGGTGTTAGGAGCATTGAGGATCCCATGCGTTGTCGTGCTTGTCCCGATCTGGGGCGTTCGGAACCCATGTGTTTTCATGCTTTTGCCGCTCTGAAGCGTGAGGATCCCGCGTGCTTGCACGCTTGTCCCACTCTGGGGCGTTAGGAACCCACATGTTTTCACGCTTGTCCCGCTCTGGGGCGTTAGGAACAAACTGTGTTCACGCTCGTCCCAATCTAGGGCATTAGGAACACAGGGGTTGTCACGCTTGTCCCGCTGTGGGGCGTTAGGAACCCACGTTTTAGGAACATGCGTAAAACAGCTTAGGATTCGAGCCCCAGGAGAGGGGTAATCCATAGGACAAAAAAGCATTTCGCTGGAGAGATCCTCAACGAATTCTGCAAAGAACGAGAGCGTTCACGTTACCCTGTGTTTTACCGATGGGATTTTCAAAAGCCAGCGTTTCGCCAGGGACATCCTCGACTTCTTAATCCGCCAGCCCCACCGCGACTTCGTCATTCATCGCAGAAAGAATCCGCCGGCCCATCTTGACCTTGGCACCTGGCACAAGTTACCATCTGAACGAGAACCCTGGGCCCACGCCATTTCCAGGAACAGCGGGGAGCGGAAAACAAGAGCGCAACACCATCACTGCAAACAACGATTCTGTCCGCAAAGAACAAATAACGCTTCTGTCCGCAAGAACGTTTGTTATCCGTGTTTGCAAATAACGCAACAAAACAAACAGACTTTTTGTCCGCGCACAACTGCTTCTTGTCCGCAGGCCCGAGAGGCGCGCGCGCCGGTCGGGCAGCTCAGGGGCGCGGGGCAACCAACTAACCCCGCCATCGACAGGCAGGACGAAGAGAAGGGCAAAGCGTCCGCAGGGAAAGGAGAACGGGGAAGGGCGAACCATCACACCATCCATACGACAAAAGTGGACCACGGGAACAGGGCACCAAAGACTGGACAACAAAAACTGATAAACCATGATGCCGCTTTCCGCTACAGGATTACATGTCCCGTGCCCCGTTTGGTCCGGCGCGCCCGCTGACCAGAACCGTCTACGGTGACGTCCTGGCCCGACGAAAGCCTCATATCGCGCACGTCCAGTGGCGGCGCTGCCAGGCAGTCTCGAATGCCACGCAAACGTATCAACGCTGTCACCTCAGAGTCCTCCAGCCCGGCTGGAACAATGCGGACAATGATGCTTGGCCCCCGGGACTCATTGAAACCTCCGTGCCCACAGACACTGCGCACCGGCCCCCGTTTTGGTCGGCAGCCATGAGCCCCGGCCGACTGCACCGCGCGCGCAGGATGCCTTCCCGACGGTGGAAGTGCGTTCCACGGTCGAAACGCGTTGCTGCCGACATGAACTGAAATTCCAACGCTTCGGGGGAGGTGCTGTCCCTGGTGTTTTTTCCGCAGGTCCAGACACCACCTGCCGGTACGATCCGGAAGGGGGCCCACCTCCAGAACGCCCCAGTCTCTGATACGTACACACAGACAGGCCATCTGTGAGAGAGAGAGACGAGAGAGAGAGAGATAGAAAGGAACAAAGAGAGAGAGAAGAGAGAGAGAGAGAGAGAAATAGAAAAACAACTATCCAGGCGAAAGACCTCAACATATCCAGTTGAGCATAACGTAATGTGAGCATCGTCTTCGGTGGAGCTCCCGACACAGGTGGGGGGACGCACGGGAGCACTGACGCTGAGGCTTTCGGTTGGTATCCCTGTGGGGCCACGAAACGTGCAAAGGGCGTGCCAACATGTGCGGGCGGGACGCATGTGCGTACTGCGACTGGGGCCCTCGGTGGCGCTCCCTACGGGGCCACGAAGCGCCGAACTGGGTGGCGCAGGACGCACGCGGGCACGGCCACTGGAGCCTTCGGTGAAGCGCCCTACTTCGCCGCAACGAGAGCCCGGCCAGCATGCAGCGCCTCCCATTGGGCGATGGGGCCCCGGTGCAGTGGGGTCAGTGGCGTTGCGCCCGCGACGAGAGAGGAGACGTCAAAGGGGCCGATCATGCCGTGGGCCCCCAGCGCAGTGTTGTGTTCAAGCTTTGTTTTGCTCAAGTCTCAGGCGGCACCGCCCTTTCGAGTTCGAGCCCGATGGTTTCGAGATCCAGTCGAGATCGTTCTTGGGAGGGACTCTTGGCTGCGGGCGCCCTTTCGAAATCGAGCCCGGAAGTTTCAAAATCGTTCGGCACCGCTATGTTGGGAGGAAGTGTCAAGCGAAAGCCACAATTTCGAAATCTCTGGCCAGTAACTTAAGATTTTAAACGGCAAGCGGCATGGCCATTTCGACACGACAGTTTCGCTTGAGACTTCCCCCCAAAACAATTTCGAACGATTTCGAAATTTTCGGGTTCGATTTCGAAATGGCGCTCCCGCCCGAGACTTCCTCCAAACTAGATGTCGAAACCTTTCTGGCTCGACTTCGACATGGCGCTCCCGTCCAAGACTTCCTCCGAAACAGAACTCGGATCCTTTCGGGCTCGATTTCGTAGTGGCGCTCTCGCCCAGGACTTCGTGAAGACTGGAATTCGAAACCCTTCTGGTTCGATTTCGAAACGGCGCTCCCGCCCAGGACTTCCTCGACAAAAGATGTCGGCACTGCTTCAGTTTGAATCAGACATGGCGCTCCCGCCTAAGATTTCTATCAAAACAGAATTCGAAACCTTTCGGGCTCGACGTCGGCATGGCGCTCCCGCCCAAGATTTCTTCCAAACTAGAATCGGAAACCCTGGCTCGATTTCGAAATGGCGCTCCCGCCCAGGACTTCCTCCACAACAGAAATCGAACATTTCGTGATCGATTTCGAAATGCGCTCACGCTGGGGACTTCCTCTAAACCAGATTCCGAAACTTTCTTGCTCGATTTCAGAATGGCGCTCCTGCCCAGGACTTCCTCAAATACACGAATCGGAACCTATCCGGTGCAGGATCGAGGTTCTCTTTCCCTGTGCTGTAAGAATTTCTCCACTGCAGGCCGCCCGCAAGGGGCGTGAAGATTTCCTTCGTCGTTGCACTATTAGATGCGTCGGTAGGGTGGAGTAGGCGTTTCTTCCAGGTGACCGTCCCCTGGACACGTGAACAGTTCATGAAGTGACCGTTGGGGCTATGGCGAAGTGCATTCATTCCCCAGCCTACAATTCTTGACGCTTCGCGTCCCCCCAAGCCATGCAGAATGCTCCCCAGGCGAATTGCCTTGACACTAAATTGCAGCAGCATGCCGTGAAGGAGTGAACCGCATACCGAGAGGAGGGGGAGGAGGTAATTAGGAGGAGGAGGAGGAGGAGGAGGAGGGGGAGGAGGAAGATGAAGAGGCAGATGATGATAATGATGATGACGATGACGATGACGATGGCGATGACGATGATGATGATGACGATGATGATGATGATGATGATGATGATGATGATGATGATGATGTTGATGATGATGTTGAT